GTCGTAGATAGTCCTCATAGCTCTGAAATACAAGGAAGGAATAATGATGTCACTGTTACCCTAGTGTAAAATAGAGCTAAAATGTCGTAGATAGTCCTCATAACCCTGAAATACAAGGACGGAATAATGATGTCTGTGTTACCCTAGTGTAAAATAGAGCTAATATGTCGTAGATAGTCCTCATAGCCCTGAAATACAAGGACGGAATAATGATGTCTCTGTTACCCTAGTGTAAAATAGAGCTTAAATGTCGTAGATAGTCCTCATAACCCTGAAATACAAGGACGGAATAATGTTGTCACAGTTACCCTAGTGTAAAATAGAGCTTAAATGTCGTAGATAGTCCTCATAACCCTGAAATACAACGAAGGAATAATGATGTCACAGTTACCTTAGTGTAAAATAGAGCTAAAATGTCGTAGATAATCCCCATAGCCCTGAAATACAAGGACGGAATAATGATGTCTCTGTTACCCTAGTGTGAAATAGAGCTTAAATGTCGTAGATAGTCCTCATAACCCTGAAATACAACGAAGGAATAATGATGTCACAGTTACCTTAGTGTAAAATAGAGCTAAAATGTTGTAGATAATCCCCATAGCCCTAAAATACAAGGAAGGACTAATGATGTCACTGTTACCCTAGTGTAAAATAGAGCTAAAATGTCGTAGATAGTCCCCATAGCCCTGAAATACAAGGACGGAATAATGATGTCACAGTTATCATCGTGTAAAATAGAGATAAAACTGAAAATACATCTTAATTCAAATTGTCAACTGAATTTTCAGAAAATAATTAATATTTGAAAATACTGACCTGTTTTATTGCAGTTACGGAGACAACAAACACTAGAGGGGCTATACTGGTGATCGGGGTGACAGGTGTGTCGATAATCAGCTGAAATAGAAACAAAATGATTTTTTAAACACTCCTCAAAGTGAAATTACTTTGGAGTTGAAAAGAAACAATCATTAATGAATCAATTCGGAGTCTAAATCACGCAAAATAATTAGATCATATTTATGAAATTTTCCATTGAATTAGTATGTACTACAATGTATTACAATATGAACACACTGACACAATATGGAGTATACAATTCAGCAACGTGAGAATTTCCACAACACAAATTATTTGAAAAATTCAAACTTACAGAGACAATAGCGACAAATACGGTACATAAATCAAACATCTTAAATATATAAAATTCATACTTCATGCCAAGTAATATTTAGTTTCCTTTGTTGACCAGTTCATAATAGTACTTCCTGTACATGAGCAGGTGAAATATAGCACCAAATGTCCTGTGCAGGTACCAAACAAACTGTGATGTAACAGTCAAGCTAGTAAAAGGTTCTGGGTGGGTTTTTTCTTTTTTTTCAGAGTTCAACAAAAATCAGTTCTATTGAAAATATATCCATGTACTGTTTATATCCTCCAATAATCCCAGGGGGCCGTTAAATAAATACTACATTCATTAGAGTGTGACAGTGCCTAGGGTCACCCCTCGGATATCACTGTCACCCTTGGTGAAGTGATATATCCGAGGGGTAACCCTAGGTTAACTGTCACACATGAACATATGTAGTGTTTATTTTATACTGAGGAAAATAAAATGGCGGCTGAAACGAACCATAAGCACATCTTCTTGGCACGGTCACTGTTTTGCACTGTCACACACACTGTCACCCGTTGCTAGGGCGTTGGGAAGCACCCTTCCATTGACTCAATGTTAAAGTGAATGTGACTGTGTCTCAAACAATCAGATAAAAGGATTTTCACTAGAGGTATAATTTACATAATCTCTAACTCTAAGAAGGAAGGCAGGATTATTACAGGACAATAAAATATCATTTGTTGGGATTTCTACTGAACTGCAGTAGATATGGGTGGGCTTATTAACAGGCATGGGCTTATTGTTTGATAAATATGGTAACAGCAAAAACTCCACCAGGTTTTTTTATACAAAGATCAATGTTATCATAAATAATGTTTCACATACCTGCACTATGCCAACACACAGGAAGTAGAAATTAGCTATCCTCCGGAACTGTTCAAACAAATTCTTTGGCAGGAAGTTAAATACTGTATACTGCAAGAAATACACAAATATAAAATAATAAGTTTAATATTCAACTAAATCCTATCCATGTATTAGCCAGGATAACTGGTTAAAACGTACTAAGGGCATACACAATTCTTATACAAGAAATACTATTGATTAAATGAAACTGTTTTTTGAAGACCGATTGAAATTTAATTTCACATTTACCTTTTTAATTTCCCCCAACCATAATCGATTAACCTTTTTTTATTTTTGCCTTTGTTTCCATCAAAGAAGATGGACGATTGCAAATTCTGAGATATTGTAAGATATCAGGTCTCCAGCAGGATTTTACACAGGGCAGTGGCGGACCCAGAGATCTATCTGGGGGGTTTCCATGTGGGGAAAAATCGAGGAAAATGGTGAAAATGCATTTTTTAAAGAAAATTCTCGGGGGGGGGGGGGGGGTCCTGAAGCCCAAAAATCCCCTCTGGATCCGCCACTGCATGGCAAATATTCATGAATTTACTGAAAGTACAATCAACATAAACTTTGTTGGTTGAAAAATTTAACATTGAGACAAGAAAATACATCAGAACATGTAAAGGTTTGCAGTATTCTAAACTTATAAAGGGACACTTAAATTAAGATTTAGGGACACTTACATAACTGTTACTGTTTACAGTCATAATACAATAGAATACCTGTTTCAAGTTATCTAACCCTTAGCTGTATCTCCTAATTATAATAGCTTGCTTAGGTTAATAGCCTTGCACCATCAGTAGCTTGCACTAATACCATATAGATCTGGTGGGTTAAACATGACAAATAATAAAGATAATTGTTGACCTGGTATAATATACACAGTCATTCCTGTTGGGCTGTATGTTTGGTGGATGCCAATAGACAGGTCTGAAGATCAATGTCTATAGATATAGTGTTTAATGCATACATGATTGTGCATGCAATGGTGCTGACAAGATATATTACATGCAATACAGGCTTTTTACAATGTGTATTTAGTGTAAAGGTGTGGTTCATGTGTAGCGGAACTGGACTGGGTCGATCGTAGGCGACCAGATAGCTTAATTGTTAGAGCGTCTATCTAGAGTTCGGAGGGTCCCAGGTTCAAACCCTGGTCTGGCCGTGCATTTTTGCTCTCCTGTTACAGTAGTGCCTGTGACCAATCCTTGTTTCAAGCTTCTGGTGTGTGCCTGACAAGGGGATACCCAGACCTGGGTTGTGGATAGTTGTGTCTTCGGGGGCAAACATATTAAAAAAGGGGAAAGTAGTGTGGTAGGTTTTAATTTACATAGGATTAAGGTCGCTTTCAAGCTTCGAGCTAGAGGGAAGTTCCCTTTAGCTCAACGGTAGAGCATCAGGCTGGAGAGCCAAGGGTCGCAGGTTTGAGGCCCAGCGACGGCGCTAACTTTATCACTATTCCTCGTCATATTACACATGTTCATATGTTCGAAAGTCTTTGTCAGGGTGTGGTTATGAGTATAAAGTGCTACTTCTTTATTAAATTAATGTACAAGTGTTATATGCTTTGTAAATTGTGTTACATATTGTATAAAGAAAAGAAAAAACAACGGACTGTTTATCATAAAAGCTGCTCAAAGTCAAAGTCAAAAAGTTTTATTTAGAGTCGGTACATGGTATAACAACACAACATTAGCTCTAAGGAGCTATTAAAACCGACTAACATACAGGACATACACATTGCATAATAAAACAGTTACAAAGTCAATACTTTACTCATACATCACATTTCATTTTCAGCTAGGTTAGCACTATCGTTTGTTAAAAGCACATGTACATTAGTAGCTGTTTAAAATAGCAGATATCAGTCTAAAAACATGGGGTGTAAAAGCATATTTAAAAACCTTGTGTACTTGTATGAGAGTAATAAGTGATGCTATGTTGTTGTGTGGTTTATTATGTAGGTTGTTTGCATGTGACACATTTACATTGTGGTCGGTACCAGCTGTTTATAAGTGTTTTGAATTGCGAAAGTGTTGTTGCTGTTCGAAAGTGGTCTGGCAGAGAATTCCATATTTTTGGTGCTTCAGATCGAAAAGAGTGTTTGCCAAATTTGGTTGTTCTTACTTGTGGTATTGTCTGCTGTGTTGTGGTATCTAAAGGAGTATGGCTTTTGTGTGGTACTGATGAGGTCATGCAGGTATGTGGGTGTTTGTTTGTTTGTAATTTTGTATACTTCGATTGCAAAATTTCTGAGGCGTCAATTTTAAGGGATGGTAATTTTGAGCGGGCCAATAAAACTTCGTATGTACATGTGTGGTCGTCGTATATGAATCTGAGTGCCCTACCTGTATTTTTTCCATTTTTTTTGTGTTTGTTTCGCCACAGAAATGCCATGTGAGGGGACAGAAGTTAAAGTTTAAGAGGATGAATGAGTGATATATAGTGAGTTTGCCTAGTCTGTTTAAGTGTCTGCCTATTCGTTTAAGTACGTTTAATTGTCTAGATGCTTTTTTACAAGTGTTTGAGATGTGTGTATGAAAGTTTAGTTGGAAATCTATGGTGACACCTAGCAATTTCACTTCTGGTTCGCAGTTAATCAAATTGTGCTGTCCTAAACTAAATGTGATATTTTCTTGTTGTGTTTTTTTGCCTTTAGCCATTGCCTGGAATTTGTCTGGATTTGCCTGCATATGGTTGTCTGCGAACCAGTGTATTAGTGCGTCGCTGTCTGCCTGTAGTGCAGATTTGACTATGTCTAGTGAGGAGTGTGCTTTGCTGAGTGTGTTGTCGTCGGCATAGTTGTACAGGTTGCTATGTTCTATTAAATGGAATATGTCGTTGATAAAAATGTTGAAAAGAATAGGGCCTAAAATTGATCCTTGGGGTACCCCCTTGTATAAATTTTGAAATGTGCTAGTGGTTTTGCCAAGTTTGACGCATTGTTTTCTATTACTTAAATAGTCCGAAAGTAAATTTGTTGCCGACTGATCTAAACCATAATTTTGGAGTTTGAGAAGAAGAAGGTTGTGGGGCAAACAGTCAAAGGCCTTTGAGAGATCCATCAGTATGCAGGCTACATACTGATTTTGGTCTAGTGCCATCTTCCAGTCCTTGATGACTCTCAGTAATGCCGTTTGACACCCATATCCTGCTCTAAATGCAGAGAGATAAGGGTGAAAAACGTCATCAAAGAGGTCACTGAGTTGGGAATGTATGGTTCTCTCAAAAACCTTGGAAAGTGCCGGGAGAATGCTGACGGGTCTGTAGTTGCCTTTGTCAAGTGTACTGTTTTTCTTGTGTATTGGTCTGACTTGTGCTGATTTTAGGTTGTCTGGAAAGGTGGAGGTGGATAGGGCGGTATTGACAAGTGTAGTGACTGGTTTAGTGATGTCGGGTTGTGCTTAACCTTAAAATTTAGGCGATATGTTATCATAGCCCATTGCTTTCTTTGGGTTTATTTTGTTAAATTGTTTATGTATGAATTGTTCGTCTACTGGTTTAAATTTGAATTGACTCATTTGAATGTTGTGTTTCTGGTTTTCTGCGATTTTTTGTAAACTAGGGTGGGTATTGTTTATGTCGATGCTGTTTGTACCTATTTCTTTTGCTACGTTAACAAAAAAGTTGTTAAAAAATTCTGCTACTTCTGTTTGCTCATTAACTATTTTCTCTTCATCTAGGACGATGTCAATTTGTTTTTGATTTCCTTTGTTGGTTATAAAAGGTTTAATTGTGTCCCAAAAGTTTTGCGTGTTTTGCCCCCCTGTACATTTGTCTATGAAATAGTGTCTTATTGATTGTTTTCTTAATTTAGTGACCTTATTTCTCTGTTTTCTATAATTTTCCCAGTTGTGGCCTGAACGGTTCGATGTGAATTTGTTGTGTAGCATTTTCTTGTGATATATTTCCTGTCGTAGTTTCTTGTTCATGAAGGGTGCTTGATTTATTCGTGGTTTTCTCTTTTTCATTGGTGCGTGCTTGTCTATTATGCGTGTTAGTGTGTTGCTGAATTGGTTGTAAGCCGTGTTTATGTTTTCGTGTTTGGCTATGTCGTCAAGTTTTGCATTATATAGGTCGTTATGAAAATTTTCGATATTAAAATGTTTAAAACTTCTGTACGACATCCATTCCTGTTTTCTCACAGTGATCTTACTCCGTAGTTGAACTGCAATAATATTATGTACATCGCTGACTCCTGTATCAAAGTTACAAATTTTACCTGTTAGATTTGGTTTGTTTGTCAAAATTACATCGATAAGGCTAGGTTCTGTGTTTTTAGGATGACAGGTTGGGGCTTTCACAAGATTTGATAAGTCAAAAATATCACATACATTTTGTAATGGGTTTCCTTTATCAGATAACAAATCATAGTTGATGTCACCTATAACCATCAGATTGTCATATTTCGTGGAACAGCGGTCAAAAGTCTTACAAAAGTCTTCTGTGAATGTGTTTTCTTTCATGCTAGGAGGTCTATAGACTCCTTGAATTAACTATTTCAAATTATTTAATGATAGTTCAACTGAAATTGATTCTATGTCCTGAAAATCTATGTATTTTACCAGGTGTCCTGGTAAGTCCGAACGTAGATATGCTGCAATTCTGCCGCCATGAGAATTTCTATCGGCTCTCCACAGGTGGTAGTTATTTACGCTAAATTGTGCATCAGGAAAGCTATCGTCTATTTTGGTTTCCGATAAGAATAGGAGATCAACTGTATAGTTTGCTAGTAGTTCATGTACCTGATCAAATTTGTGTCGCAGACTATTTATGTTGAGATATGCACACAAGAAGTTTGATGGATGTTTTTTCCTGGCATCATGAAGTTCTTGAAACACGGAAGGAGAAGGGAGATCACTCTCGTCGACAGGCGCGTTTGAGTGGTTTCTAATTATAAAGGGGAGGTCACTCTCGTTGGTGTTGTTGTCGAAATCAATGTTTATTTCATTTTCGATGTTGGATTTTACACATGTTTTGCAGTTCCACTGGAATTCACCTTTTTGTTGGAATTCAAGGTATAGTTTTGGGGATATGTTGTTGCATTTTATATGAGACCAAAGTTCACAGGTATCGCACGACATTGCTCTGTGTTTTTTTGCAACAGATTTGTTACAAACACTACATGGAGTTTGGATTGGTCCTGGATTTGGACACTGGCCGCAGAGTTGTATATTTACAATCATTAGGTACGATGTACAAGATGGGCTGTACTTGTAATAAAGTGTTGTCGATCGGGTTCGTTGTTGATGTCCGCCATATCCGTCATGGTCACGGTGGTCCGACTGACCGCTGGTCACTGGACAAAGTTTTTCGAGTACCGAGTCATATTTTGGTATCAACTTTAGATTGGTGCTGGCATAAAAACCCAGATCTTCTACTTGCACCTTTTCAATTACATGATGGTCAATTTTCGTTGGGTAGAAACGAGAAAAGAGGCCGAAAATCAACAGGAGAAAATTTATACCTGCCATCTGATCCATTTATAAAAATCTTCATTTCGGTTCAGATATCCGCATTCCATTGTATAATGGAACAAGAGGCCCAGAGGGCCTGTATCGCTCACCTGAATATGTTTAAAATAATTTGTATGAAGTAAAGATATAGCACTCCATGGTAGGTGCTGTAAGTACATATGAAATTTCAGAAAGATCCATCCAGTACTTGAAATATAGCGAGAAACTTCAAACAGAGCCCCACCCCTATGCCCCTAGGGGGTCATACCCACCGTTTATACAAAATTGAGTCTCCTTGGCCCAAGGATGCTCCAGACTAAATAAGGATAAAATCCAGTCATTCGTACAGAAGAAGGTATTTGAAGAATTTGCTATGTTTCCCCTATCGGGCCCACCCTTCTGCCCCCAGGGAGCCACACTCACTGTTTATACAAAATTGAGTCCCTTAATTTTGCCCAAGATCCTCCAGACCAAATTGGGAAGAAATCCCTTCATCCCTATGGTAGAAGAACGATTTTAAAGGTTTTACCTCTATTTCCCCTATTGGGCCCCGCCTCTCTGCCTCCAGGGGGTCAGACACACTGTTTATACAAAAGTTGTTCCCTTTTACCTAAGGATGCTTCATACCAAATTTGGACAAAATCCTATCATTCCTACAGAAGATGAAGGATTTGCTATGTTTTTACCCTATTAGGCCCCGCCCCTCAGCCCCCAGGGGGGTAAGACCCACTGTTTATACAAAATTTGTTCCCCTTCACCCTAGGATGCTCCACAACAAATATGGACTAAATCCTTTCATTCCTACAGAAGAAGAAGGATTTTAAAGAATAATTTGCTATGTTTCCCCTATTGGGCCCTGCCCCTAAGGCCCCTGGGGGGGCCAGACCCACGGTTTATACAAAATAGGTTCCCCTTTACCCAAGGATGCTTCAGACCAAATATGGAACAAATCCTTTCATTCCTACAGAAGAAGAAGGATTTTAAAGAATTTGTTATATTTCCCCTATTGGGCAACGCCCCTCCGCCCCCAGGGGGGTAAAACCCACGGTTTATACAAAATTTGTTCCCCTTTACCATAGGATGCTCCACACCAAATATGGACTGAATCCTTTCATTCCTACAGAAGAAGAAGGATTTTAAAGAATAATTTGCTATGTTTCCCCTATTGGGCCCTGCCCCTTAGGCCCCTGGGGGGGCCAGACCCAAGGTTTATACAAAATAGGTTCCCCTTTACCCAAGGATGCTTCAGACCAAATATGGAACAAATCCTTTCATTCCTGCAGAAGAAGAAGGATTTTAAAGAATAATTTGCTATGTTTCCCCTATTGGGCCCTGCCCCTAAGGCCCCTGGGGGGGCCAGACCCAAGGTCTATACAAAATAGGTTCCCCTTTACCCAAGGATGCTTCAGACCAAATATGGGACAAATCCTTTCATTCCTACAGAAGAAGAAGGATTTCAAAGAATTTACTATGTTTCCCCTATTGGGCCCCAGCCTCAGGCCCATGGGGGGCCAGACCCACCATTATACAAAATTGGTTCCCCTTCACCCAAGGATGCTTCATGCCAAATATGGACCAAATCCATTCATTCCTACAGAAGAAGAAGGATTTTAAAGAATTTGTTATATGTCCCCTATTTGGCCACGCCCCTCAGCCCCCAGGGGGGAAAGACACACCGTTTATACAAAATTGGTTCCCCTTCATCCAAGGATGCTTCATGCCAAATATGGAACAAATCCATTCATTCCTACAGAAGAAGAAGGATTTTAAAGAATTTGTTATATTTCCCATATTGGGCCATGCCCCTCAGCCCCCAGGGGGGTCAGACACCCCGTTTATACAAAATTGGTTCCCCTTCACCCAAGAATGCTTCAGACCAAATATGGACCAAATCCTTTCATTCCTACAGAAGAAGAAGGATTTTAAAGAATTTACTATGTTTCCCCTATTGGGCCCCACCCCTCAGGCCCATGGGGGGCCAGACCCACTGTTTATACAAAATTGGTTCCCCTTCACCCAAGGATGCTTCATGTTAAATATGGAACAAATCCTTTTATTCCTACAGAAGAAGAAGGTTTTTTAAGAATTTGCTATATTTCCCCTATTGGGCCCCGCTCCTCAGCCCCCAGGGGGGCCAGACCGACCATTTATACAAAATTGGTTCCCCTTCACCCAAGGAAGCTTCTGACCAAATATTGAACAAATCTTTTCATTCCTACAGAAGAAGAAGGATTTTAAAAAAATTGTTATATTTCCCCTATTGGGCCACGCCCCTCAGCCCCCAGGGGGGCAAGACCCACCATTTATACAAAATTTGTTCCCCTTCCCCAAAGAATTTGACTAAATTTTGTCAAAATCTTCTCAGTCGTTCATGACTATTAGTGTTTTAAGGAAAAGTTGACGGACGGACGACGGATGGACAGACGGACGACGGACGTTGCGGTATGGCATAAGCTCACCATGGTCCTTCGGACCAGGTGAGCTAAAAACAATAACAACAAACAGACAGAAATGACTTTTTGACGAAGCAATAAAGATCTGTACTTTCTTTCGACCAGATCAAGTATTGACCTTTTGAGTGTTTACCTGTACTGAGGACAACAGGTGAGTTAATTATCAAACAACACATGTACATCTCCTTTGACGTTTATCACTGAAATATTCATGGCAAGTTTGTGTGTCTAACAGGACAGCTCTACCTGTGTAACTGTAATCAATATAGCTGTCTGTTATACCTGTTGTAAGGTTATCAACATAAAGCTATATACATGTATATCAGGACCGGATGATAATGGTCACCATAAACTTACCGCCCTCTTCTATAGCCAATGTGTGATAATTTTATGTGTTATATGTGTATTTTACAACATAACGATGTTTAAGGATTCAGAAAATTTTGAAAAATTGAAATATCTTATTTTCTTCAGTAATGAAACTTTTTTTTATTAGTCATGTTATTTTTCATTTTTCTCAATCCAGTTATTAAAAGTTTGAAGTGTCCAGACTACTAATGTTGCACTTCCTTATTTTATAAATAATGTACAGAAAGTCACCACAGGAGGGGCTATAGAGACCATGAAAATTCAGGAATGAGGTGGTTGGTGGTAAAATTTTTGATTTGTAGGATGTAGAGGGAGACTTAATTATAAGCTGGGATGCGGTGGAGGCTTAAAAACTAGGGTAGAGGGTGAAGATTGTAATAAAGTGGAGTTTTTGGAGGAGGTGTAGAAACTGATGGTAGGGGAAAGTTGGAGGATATGATAAAGATTTCAATCTACAAAATAAGGCGGGGCTGGTAGTTTTGATGGTGTGGCAATACTGTGAGGGAAGTTTCAATTTAAAAATTTCAACTGTGGTGGTGATATATGTTGGAGGCGATGAAGTGGTAGGAATGATAGGCCATGGAGGTTTTAATTTAAGAACTCCAATGGGGAGTTTGGAGACTTACTGGGGAATGGAAGGACTTAAATAGAGAATGAGGGACTTAAATGGGGAGTGGGAGGACTTTAATGGGGAGTGAGAGGACTTTAATGGGGAGTGGGGGGACTTTGATGGGGAGTGGGGGACTTTAATGGGGAGTGGGGGGACTTTAATGGGGAGTGAGGTACTTAATGGGGAGTGGGGGACTTTAATTGGGAGTGGGGGTACTTTAATGGGGAGCTTTGGGTGGGGACTTTAATAGACATGTATGCATGGTGGTTAAGGTACGGGGGATGTAACAGAGGATGTCAGGTTGAAATTTGAAGACATGGGATGTGGATAATGAATGGGGTAGTGATGAGATGGTCATGTTTGAGAGGTACAAGGCTGGAAATGGTGGTGGATATGATGGATGGTGGGGGATTGGTTACTTCAGAGCCTCAATGNGGGGGGTGGAGAGAGAGAGAGTTAAAAGTTGTCAGATCTGTTTAAATTTTAAGAACAGGGGGTTAACGTTTAAGATGGTGAAGCGATTCCCTGTATGGGTGTTTTATAGACTGAGGAAGTAGTCCTATACACACTGTGACTCTTACCTTAGATGATATGACCCTGTTGTTGGGAAACCTCTGTGTATGGAGCACAGACACATCTTCCCCAGGGAACGGTGTGTTACCAACATACACCTTTCTGTCTGATAGAGCTGGCTTCTTCACACATCCCTGTCACAGAATAAAATCATATTAATATAAACATCGTTGTCACATAAATACTGTTGTCGATAAACAAGGTTATCACAGAAACATTGTTGTCATAGTAGCATTGTTGTCATAGAAACACTGTTGTCATAGAAACATTATTGTCACAGAAACATTGTTGTCATAGAAACATTATTGTCACAGAAACATTGTTGTGATATACTAGTAAACATTATTGTCACAGAAACATTATTGTCACAGAAACATTGATGTCACATAAACATTATTTTCATAGAAACAGTATTGTCACATACATATATTAATTGTTATTAATAAACACCTCAGGTGCCCATATATACACAAGACATTTCTGTATTTCATTAACAAAACCAGTACAGCTTTAAAGATTGAATCCTTCATTTGTGACTGTATAATGTACAGTCAATTTTATATCCATTGGTAGTTTCAGGTTACTAGTGTAAAACTCTTGACACAAAAAATATATACTTGACCTGAATATTGCATTTTAACTGAACCTCATTAAATATTCATATAGGACTTTGGCCTGATAATCAACATTTTGTGACCTCTGATCTGCAAGTATTCAACCTTTGACCTTAGTTAAACAATAACATTATGTAACCTTATAATCAATATATGTATTAAACCTTGACTGAAACATTATCAATATGCAATCTCAATAAAAAATATATCTCACCCTGACCTAAACATTGATTATGTATAACCCCACTTATTACAATGTTTTCAATATTAACCCTGGAATAAGTCACCAGACCTCATTAATTAATCTATGTACTTGGTATTGATTTGAACATTAGCACAGACGATATTATATTTTAAATCACCATTATTTTTATAAGACATGAATTTTAAAAACGATTTGCAAAAAGATTCAATGCTGAATTCAAATATATCACAATTTTATTTCAGTCTCTTTTAAAAAAGCTTTTAATTAACATGTTATCAATTATTAACAAATTCACATCAAATATTCATGAAAAATTCATTTAAAGAAAACCACTGACAACAACAGCAAACACAAGAGCACACAAAAATGATATAATTCCTGAACTCATTCACCCCTGAAGACACATGTGAACTCTTCCAATCCAAGGGTTGGAATAGTTCATTATGAAATTTCAGGGGTGAATGAGTTAACAGTAAATGAGTAAAAAAAACTTACAAGCACTATCCCCCACTTGTGTGAGTAATAGGGACATCCTGCCTAGCCCTATCATCACATTTTCACTACTTAATTAGAGACTTACAATTATAAAAAAAATCTTCCAACTTTTGTACTTTATACCCTTCATTTAATTCTAAATCTGAGGGTCTAATCCTAAATCTGAGGGTCTAGATCCTCATATTACATTGACTTAAGTTCCCTGTCTTTTAATCCTGTTATCTAGTGGAAAAGCATGCTACACATACTTGGCATACAATTTTGCTTACTTAAGTACAATTAAATCCCTAATTTCCTGATTCTAGAACCCTACTAGAAGTACCATAAGGAAGAAAGGGACTAGTAATCTTGGTGGACTATGATGTGTCAAAAATACATCTTTGTCACAATTACACCAGAATATCAACACAACAGAACCAAACTCAGAAATATTCTCATCCTCGATACTTTAGGGTTAGCTCACTAATACGCTCTCTTCACCCCTGGAATATGTCATAGCAAAATTGAAGGCACGCGGCTAGGGTAAAAAAACCTCTGACCAATCTCTAGGCTGATACCCGTCATGGAGATACAGAGAGACGACACCCGACTTAAAAGCCATTTAATTTTACTGTTACATGACCAACAGATCCTTTTAATTTTGCTATGACATATTCCAAGGGTGCAGAGAGCGAAAGTAAGCGTAACCCCTGGAGTATTGGGGATGAAACATTCTAAAACAAACCGTTTCTTTCAGTTTAAAAAAAAAGAGTTTTTGCAGTCATTTTAATTATGCTACGGAAACCTTCAAATATCCGGCTGTGTGTTCCACTCATAAAGTTAGGCATGAAGACTTTTATTAAAAAGGTGGAAACTTTTAAGCCAGTGGTTTAAGTTCAGTTGATTGAGACACTTTCTTCAATGGTGTTGGGTCATCATGATCATAATATCTGTTTGCTTCACAAACTTGTGTTTGGTCATATATATATGTAACATAAAGATTATGGCAGATTTATAAACATAGTATGTGTGGGTCAAAGACAATTGTCCCTTTATAATTGTAAAATCACTGGTGTTCGTGTTTGTTTGCCGAGAGGGTAAGTACACAATGTCCAGTTATAAAACCAAACTGGATGGACATGTACATTTTGTATATTAGCAGAGATATTTCTTGACCTTGTAAGCAATAAAGAAAACTGGATTCTCCCATCAATGTATGTGTAGTTTTGACTGGATGTTGAATTGGTAATTATATATAATGGTAGGAAGCACTTTTAATCAAAATTAAAAGGACTAGGAAGGAAAATATTTTTTGTAAAATTGATATATATATATATAGGATCTTACATGAGTTTCCATTTCATGAGATTTATGAAGCGATCGAGTCTAAGAATTTTTCAATTTAGTGCTCGAGCCTCTGGCGAACTAAAATGAAAAATTTGTGACGAGTTTCATAAATTTCATATGAACTGAAAACAAGTGTAAGATCCTTTTTATCACATTATCAAGATTTGTGGCATTTATTAGTGTAAAACGACAATTTTCATACAACATTGAAATGTAAAAAGCCGCCATTTTGACTCAAGTACGTAAGTCTATGACGTCAGGTACTTGTCCTAGGCATGATGTCACAATCGAAACAATTGAAACTTACAACCAATCACAGGGCTGATAGGTCATATTACAAAATACGCAAAAAAATATGACACTGGTATCTTCACTGGATAACACAGTACATTATGTGATAAAATAAGCAGTGATATGGTTTGCCTTGCAAAATTTTATTTTGTTTAACTGAAATTTTGGTTAAGATATGAAGATTTTTATTAACAGTTAAAACCAAGAGGATTTTGTTGATTTGATGGAAATATAAACAGCCTTTGATTTTCTGACCTTAAACATTTTTTTTGGTAATTAAGACATTTAGCTCGAAGGGTTTTTACTTGGACCAATAGACCATTTGTTTACGGTTATGGAAAAAATGTCCTTGATCAAAATTATGACCAGTCTTTATCAAATTTAAATACAATGAACCCATTAATTACATTACATATCAATTAAGGTTTCAAGAAATTACACTATGTAGGTCTATTCACTATTGAAGGAAAGAGTTTAAATTTACTTCCATACAGATATGTCATCAGATTTAAAAACAAACATATATTTATTAAAGTGCTTTACATCAGAGGTTAATTTTAAATGATGTTGACACATCTTTGTTCCAGTATTTTACAACTTCAAAGTGATATCACAATCAAAACAGCTATATCCTTGAGGCAAGTAGTTGAATGCTTGCCATCATTCGATCCATCATCCTTTGCTTAAGTGTGGGCTTCAGGGATTACTCCAGTTGGCTAAGCATAGTCAACTATTAACCATCTGGATTTCATTCAAATGTGTTGATATTTTTCTAGTCATTTTGAAATTGTTGCTTTTACATGCAATAATAAATCTAAATGTGGTTGGGACCTGCCAACACGAAATCACTTGATAAAGAAATACAATTTAGAGTGGGTGGATCTATATCTAAATAAACCATTGATAAACAGATGAATCAGTTCTACAGTCCAGGATATCAACACGGTTAAACGATTACAGACTGAGAGTTGACAATGTAAATGAGATACACATCAAAAAAAATCATAGAACAGTAAGGTCAAAATCTAGCACATATGCCTGAGGACCAGCATTATTGCACAACATTACATGTACAGTGGTGAGCCTACACTACTATATAGCCTGTTACAATATTATCACTGTACATATGTATATCCACTTTTCATTCCAACTTTGCTGCTGTACACTCTCCAAATTTCTGTTAATTGATTATCACTTATTAAGGAGGGAGACTCCTGATTTTGGTCCCCTAAATTTAGTATATTTGCTTAACTATTCCTATATTCTAAAATCTAATGATTTCATCTGAATTAACAACTCCACATATGTCACTTTGAATGGTTATTTTGCATCTAGGGTCAGGGGGACACACATTTTATTTGTATTTTGATTTTGAACATGAAGAATCTCTTCCATGGAAATATCAAATGTTTGGCAGGTATGTTAATTATTAAAGGTTATGTGTGAACTTAATTATAGACACAAGCAAAAATGGTTTTGTAATCTATATTTAGACGGCAGAAAAATCTCAGTGCAATACAACCTAAAATAATTAGTGTATAATATATCACCAACCATTTTCTTGCCGACACAGACTTAAAAGTTTTCGAGTCATAAATTAAAATAATTTATTTTTTAATTTGCGTACCAGTAACAAACAGGAAGCAAACTGAACCCCATTATTTAAATTTGGTCGTGACTCATGAGTTATCAACACTCTAAAATATTTACTGAAATGTTGGGGAGGAAAACATCAAAAAAAAAATTATTTTGCTATCAAGCTAAAATGCTGACCCTAAACTTCTTTATTTCTCTGAAAGGTTAAAAACTGTAATTATTCAGATTTCATAATCAAGTTAATACATTTCCAAAATTAAAACCTAGCATAATTGACTTTTAAGTCTTAAAGAATATATATATATATAACAAAATACTTTTTTGGAAATTATCTAATAGATCTAAAACTTGTCCTGGTCATTTCACAACATGCCACATCATAAACAAGAGAAATATTATCATTATTATTATAATCAATTCACTTACCTGAAAGGTGTAAGGAGTTAAAACACAGGCACAGGAAGAATGCTCAGATGAAAAAGTACCATACTGAGACATAGAGATGCTCAATTATTTCTGAACTAAAGCTGAGCAAATTTTGGAGACCATATATGTCACTTAAATTGTACATGTGTATCATCCGATTTTATTTTACATTCACGTGGAAGCTCTTGGTTGGCGCTTGCAGAGAACAGACATTTTTTTCAATTGAAAATAATATCTACTTCCTCAAATAAACCTTGCTACACTTTATATCGACAGGTGGCTTTGTGGTATTGTATATTATGTACAAGCATGCTCTTTAACTCCCCGTTCCTGACGTGGCACTGTTATCAATGTTATTAGCAAACTGTGCATGCTTACAAAAACGAAAAGATACCCTGAAAATGGTGTATGTGTACATGTTCATCAGATAAATACATAAAATAATAATAATAATAATCTTAATCTATTTTATTTGTCACATATAATTCACAACTAAAAAATTCCTTCATTTATTCAGAATACATAATATAAACAGTGTTTTTGTTACCTAAATTTTACAACAAACTGTTTACTTAATGAATTAGGAAAATATAGCATAATTTGTATTTAAATTGGGAAAATATTCTTAGGATTTTGGTCATTTTGGGAAAATAAGGCACTTTTTATCTAAGGGAAACAGCCTGTATTTGGCAGTAAAACTGCACAAAAACATTACTGATAAAATAACATATTCAAGTACATATTAAGTGATATTATAAACTTTCCTATTGATGCTAGCAACACTGTTTATTGTTCATGTTAATAAGAGTGATTTATCAAAAGGGGTATAATAGGCCAGTTAATTAGGATAATTGATTGCGGGCAAGTATCCTTTAATATGTTTGATATGGTATACACATGACCATGAGTTAATGCTAATTAGCATACGGTAACCTTTACATGATATAGTATTTCTTAAGATGATGTAACATGGGCTAACACTTAAGCACTAGTTACAGGGAAGTAGGCAATAGAAAGTCTGTATCATGATCAAGTGTTCCAAGAATTTAGGTTCTACCCATGCATGCACAGAATTTTCTTCTGAGAAAAGAAAATACATATATGCATGTTTTTAGAAACAAGAGATGGTGGGCTAAAAATAGGAACATATACTGCATTTGTTACATATAATACTGCAGATACAATTTGATTTTTCAGTGGAAAACCAGGACTTCACTTAGGAAAATTTTACAACAATAAATGCTGTTGTGTTTTTTACTTTACAGTTTTTGTGTTAACACCTTAATAAAAATAGCTGTCATATGTCAAAATGAAAAATTTTGATTTCACTTTTAAGATTGAAAATATATGAGTTTGTCATACACGGGATTTGTTAAGAATATGTGGATATGGCAAATGTGTTTCATCGACTACAGCGTTTCTTGTTTACTGTGCAGAATTTCTAAGAAGAAAGCCAAATAGCTGTGGTTCCTGTTTCCTGACCGACCCTATTGGACCTATTTGACCCTAATATATTTTAATTTTTTTCAGTCACTATTATGCATTTATTAGCCATGTAATTGTTTGAAGTGTATATATGCATTTTAATTTCCTATGCATTTTATTAGTCTTGTCTCATGGTCAGTGTCAGAGTATTAATTGAAGATAGTAGCTAATTATAAGTAGCCATAGATAATTGTGGTTATGATATTGGTTACAATTGGGATCTGTAGATTTGTGTGACTGTAGTCTAGTTGTGTGTGTGTGTGGGGGG